TACTAATAATAATAATAATAATAATAATAATAATGATAGTAATAATAATGATAGTAAAAATAATTATAACAACAATAATAATTATAATGATAATAATGATAATAATAATAACATTAAGAATAAAAAATTAAAACGATATTTATTTTGACAAATTGTTTTTATTTATTATAATCATTTTAGTTTCCTGTGAGGCAACAATTCAAGTTAAATTAAAAAAAAATTTCAAACCGAAAAAATTATGCCCATGTCTGTTTAGACCCGGCCAATTCAAGATATTGGGTTTCAATATCTAATAGCTTTCTGGATAGTTTATGATAATAGGAAGTAGTTTACACAAATTTCGCAAAAGAAATTTAGCAATACTCTACACCAAAGTAATTTTTGCAAATTTTAGCATTTTTAAAAATCTATGGTAAGACTCTTGAAGAGTTCTGCAAAAATATCAACGAATTGGTAATTGATATAAGGGTGAACATTTTCTTTGAAAATATTTAAAGATTTTAAAAAATGTTTAAAATGATTTAAAATTTTTATTTTGATTTTATAATGTAAGCTGTAAAAAAAATTGTCAAATAAATGAAGTTGGGTATCTGTCTCGAAACATTGAGTTCACACTAATGTTAAACGTTAAACAACAGAATTCCTTGAAAATTCAATAAATTATCAGCAAAGATTTCAGTGCTAGATAGGAAACAAACTCAGATCACGAGTTGGAAAAAAGATAATTTGCAAATATTCACTTTTTAAAAAATGTTTCAAGACAATTATTATTCCTTGAGATTGTTTCTGTCAGGAAGATTAAAAACAAAACCTTCTCTAGTTAGTACGCTAACTTTAGATGGTAGAGTTCATGTCCAGGAAGGTTAAAATGTTCTCCTGTAGGCTGGATTGTATGGAGATATTTTATGTAACCAATATGTTCTCTCACTCTTTCATCTAAGGATCTTGTTGTCTGTCCTATATATTAATGTTTACACTTGTAATACAAAAACTACATTTCTGGTTTTACTGTTGAAAGTGCCATCAATCTCAATCTTCTTGCTGGTGTAAGAGGATTGTATCACTGTTCCAGGCTCTATGTAGGGACAAGTTGGGCAATCTAAACCACAAGGTTTCATACCAGGTATTAGCCACTTTGACCTCATCCTAGAAGGATCTGGAATTCTGGCTCGGATGAGTTTATCCCTAAGATTGGAGGTCTCCTGTAGGTAACCATAGGTGGATTTTGAAAAACCTCCTTCGTCCAAGGATCCTGGACCATGGTTCTCCAATGTTTCTGTATGATGGAGTAGATACAAGGAAGAACATATTCACAATTGAAAAAGAAGATGGGCGCCAAGCGCCCTAAAAGCCAGGTTAAGTATAAAACCCACAGAAAGTTAGAAATATAAAATTTTTATAGAAATTTTCCACAACTTTTATTGTTTACTCTAACCCTAACTTTTGCCTCAAGGAATTTTAGCTCAAAAGTTTTGTGTGCAAAAGGAATAATAGTTTGTTTTATGTATATTAGAACTTGGCTGCATTTAGCTGTATTATATATTTATAATAAGGCACTTTGCGCTCATCTTCTATTTCAACTTTTAAGTATTGCTTAATTTTTTACCATTTTCTCTTCGATGAAACAATACAATTTTTTTTGCAGATTTACAATTGTTTTCGTGAATTTGCAAAATTTTACTAAAATCAAAAGTTTTTGGACACAATTTGTTGTAATTCTGAGCATTTATAAAGCATCCTGGGGTCATGCGAGGTCCCGCACAAAATTTGGGCCGGATCGGTACAGCAGTTTTGACGTTTATTGGACACAAACAAACACCCATACAGACAGCTGACAGCAAAGTATATTTATTTAATACGTGTATTCACAGCAAGTAAATATCTAAAAACTTTTCAACTGGATATAAAGCAAACTTTTTGTTGTCTGTACCTGTACCTGTACCTGTAACTGTACCTGTACCTGTACCTGTACCTGTACCTGTACCTGTACCTGTACCTGTTATTAAATTGACTTGAAACAACGAGTACGAAGAAGAGAACCAAATTTATAAGGTTCAGCATCCGTTCAAGACTTCTAGACCCCTAAAACAAAATTAAATTATTAAAAACATATCTATCTATCACATTTAACATGATCAACTGATATTTAATATGATAGGCCAGGGACTAAAAAAGTCTGGCCGCGCCATCAAAGTTGAAACCTAGCCTGCAGAGTGCAGAGGATAGGGTCGGGTCGGTACTTGCCGCTCGTCAGAAAGGCCGGTACAAGGAGTTCGGTCCAGTTTGAATTCAAATTGTCCCAAGTTTACTATCTATCTATCTATCTATCTATCTATCTATCTATCTATCTATCTATCTATATATCTATCTATCTATCTATCCATCTATCTATCCTAGCACAGTGGCTCACAAAGTTTTAATTAAAAATTAAGCATCGTGTTTTTCATTCATTGAAACTAATTCCACCAAATGGAATTGTTGATGGTTTTTGAACAGAGGTTCATGTTCAAGTTTATTGCAAAAATACATGTATCTGTGTACAGAACGAGTTTACAATTACAAATTGATGATTATAATAACAGTTCAAGTATAAAGCAATTAGGGGGAAAATAGCTTTTGGCTGCTTTGATTATTTTTCCCTCATAAATTTAATAACGATAACAAAACATTTCAATTAAATAGATTTAGGGAAAACTATTAGATTAGAGGTTTGTGCCACTTTTTCCATCTAGTCGTGTTGTACTAACCCACAAATTGCATTCTAGAAACTTATTAAAAAACAAAGATATCTCCATGATCGGCGCGTATTTGAGCTTTAAATGACAATTGTTTGACTTTGTTTTTATTGTTTTTGTATTGGTAAGAATCAGGGAGTAAGAAATATAAGTAAGATACAATTGACGCGGTTCGACCTATATCATATGATTATATATGCTTTGCAGACGGTACTTCATTTGAATAAGAAATATTTGTCTGATGTACAATTACCGCGTATACAATAACCTATTCTGAATATTTCTTATACAAATAGAGTACCGTCTGCATCAAAGCATGTATGTATAATCATATGGTAAGGGGGCCGCGTAAGTTATATCTCCCTAGTTAGAATCCCTTCAAATTGGTGGAGTGTGGGTGGGGGGGGGGGGGGTGATGTAGATTAAAGTAATAAAAGATATGAAGGATTTTATAAATTTTCTTGTTTTTCTTCAATTTTCTTGTTTTCTTCTCTGTTTTAAGAACTTTCATATTATGTATTATAGTTTACATTTTAAGACATAAATATCTAAAAAAAACATATTTAAAATCAAATTATTTCTTCAAAAGCAAAAACAAAAATAAAAATAAATAAAATTAATATGACTTTAAAAAAACAGAAAAACTAAATACTTTAACTTAAGTCTAACTTAATAGTATAAAAAAGAAATTGTTCACGACATTAGGCTGCAAAGATATGGAGATTAGAAAATTAGAGCTTGATGCGAGAGTTTAGGTGAAATATTACCTCTACCCCTAGTCCAACTATCATTGCAGGAATCATGCTAATCGCTCCAGCTGAAATAAATTTTCCATTTTAAAATTAATTAAAAATAATGCGGGAAAAAAAATGAAAAAATAGAGCAAAAAGTGATTAAATGGTAAAAATCAGAAAATTGTAAAAGTAAAAGATTTCAAAAATGACATTTTTTTACAGAATTTTGTAGTTCTCAAGAGATATTTCCATTACTGCACTGTATCAGTACTAAACAGAAATTTACAAGAAATTGCCAGGTCTACAATTGCGGCCATATTTCTTGTAGTTTTTGTAAAACATTCTTAAAAGTTAAACGAAATAATTGATTCTAGTATTGATTTATTGAGAAATATGTTTCTAACCATCTAATTAGTTTACTGCATAATTTTTACTTTATTTTTCATCGTCGTTATTTAATAATTTAAAGAAAACCGATTCTAAAAACGTATCCAGCCAAATTCATGATTTTGAACGTCGACTATGCGCTCAAACTCAGTAATTATACATCGTGGAAACGTTTTATATTTCTCAAATGAATCCTAAAGAATTTTTCCACAACACTGCAAACTTACTTTAACTACCTGAAATACCTTTACAGACTGATTAACAGAAGAAGAAAAAACAATTTCTAAAATTCATCTGCAATTCATGAAATCGTATATGTTTTTTTTTAAAATTATAACTTCTCTTATTAAAGAACAAAAATGTTTTGAATTTCTAATCAGAAGTATTTTTTTACTTTTTCTTTTTATTTTGAATTGACTGTAGACATAAATGCCATTAAATAACCCTCTATTTTTAAAGTGCCATTTCTAGAAGTATTATAATCATTATTGCTCAGACCAGGGTTCCTTTGTAAATCAGGTATGCATGAAATCGTCTTAGTCCCCCCAAAAAAACTTTAAACATAAAACAAATTATAAAGTTTAAATACCTAGAAAATCAGGGAATGTATCTAGATACGGAGTCAGGCCAAATGATGTAACAATGAAGTTGTGAAGGCTTGAACCTGAAATAAGATATCTGTCTCTTTTATTCAAACACCTCAAACCATGTGGATAAGATGAGATAAAGTGGCACAGGCATACCCACAAAGGATGAGACAGATGGGTGACACCGTAGATCTAGATTTTGGCAGATTTAGTTATTTCAGTTTTCTTTCAACTCCATTCCACAATTTTAGAAATATTGCAATACCGAGCTTTCCGGAGATTTATTTCAAACCCAGTTTAGGTTTATGAGATTTAAGTAAAATTCGATTCAGCTAGAGAAAGAAAAAATAAATCTTCACTGTTGAATGTTTCCCTTGTTTTTCTCGCTATCCAATGTGGACACTTTAAAATTTAAAGATTAAAGTTATCTCTAAAGGTTAAGGTCAACACGGGATATCGAGGCGGTACAAGGATGCCAGTCTAGTCTTCATCGTACTGGGCCGTCTGTTGTACCCGTTATGTAGTTAACCCAACGCGTTAAATGCAACAGAATAAGGCGGACTAAACTTTAAAAGTAAAAGTAAAGTAAAAAATTATTTATTTATGAAATATAACAAAAACATACAAAATAAGTGTTTCAGGAGAAAATATTTAAAAAACCTCTAAAAGTAGAGGTTGTGGGAATATTTCCCCCCAATATTAAAAAAATATAATGATAGAAATAAAAGGAAAAGGAAAGGATAAGGAAAGTTACATATTTATTGTTTACATTATGTAGGACATATACAGGGAGGGGTCAGGGGAACTGGGTAAAATGGCTATGGTTCTCGATTTTAGCCCCCTATGGGAGCACAGCCCCTGCCGAGAAACCCCCCTTGGAGAAGTTCTCCCCTACCGTTTCAGAGAATTAAATTAAATTCCGTCTTTCTATTGTTTTGTTGTTAGTTAATTTATAAAGTGGAACACCCCATAGAACACTAATTTCATTCTGCTTTAAATATTTAGAAAAGGTGGGGCGTAAACTAGATCACGCAGCTTTAAGCTTTTGGAATAGGTGGGGCGTAAACTTGTTTACGATGCTTTAAGCTTTTAGAATAGGTGGGGCGTAATCTAGTTCACGCTGCTTTAAGCTTTTAGAATAATTGAGGCGTAAACTAGTTCACGCTGCTTTAAGCTTTTAGAATAGGTTGGGCGTAAACTAGTTTACGCTGCTTTAAGCTTTTAGAATAGGTGGGGCGTAAACTAGTTCACGCTGCTATAAATACTTGAATAAGGTGGGGCGTAAACTAGTTCACGCTGCTTTAAGCTTTTGGAATGGGTGGGGCGTAAACTAGTTCACGCTGCTTTAAGCTTTTAGAATAAGTGTAATGTAAGAAAAGGTCAGTGTAACTTGTTAACACTGAAAATATGAGCTACTTTACTTTTTAGCATTTAGCATTTTATCTTTGTTCCCCTACATTTTAATACAGGAATATCCACAAAGTATAACACTTTAAAGACGAACTCTAACGCATCAAAAATGACGATAGCAAAGGCTGAATTTAGGCTTTGTACAAAAAAGTTTTAAAGGGTTTAATACGTGATTTGTTAAAAATAGAAAGTGTGCAGTTGATTAAAAAGCCTATATAAATTCCGTACAGTCGCCTCTGAAAGTAAAGTCTCATCCTTTAAAGGTAATCCAAAGAATTCTCTCACGTACAAAAATGAGAATTTTGCCAATTATTGCCAAAACAAGGTTTTTTAAATGTACATTTCCATGGCTATAAAAAGTATAAATTAGTTGCTGCGGTAAAATCAAAGACCAAGGCATTGGAACACTTGAAAGTCAACTCAGTTTACAAATTGTTACAAATTTTTCATATCAGTCTGGATCTGTAAGCCTGTATATTTTTAGAACAGTCTGGATCTATGTGACCCTGTATATTTTCAGAACAGTCTGGATCTATGTAAGCCTGTATATTTTTAGAACAGTCTGGATCTATGTGAGCCTGTATATTTTCAGAACAGTCTGGATCTATGTGACCCTGTATATTTTCAGAACAGTCTGGATCTATGTGAGCCTGTATATTTCCTGTCTAGTGTGTGTATACAAAGTATTAAAATTATATTTTCCTTTGAATTATATAATAATGATTACATAATATGCATAATACATATATGTAATGCATTCTCTATAATGAAGATATATAGTATGTTTTATCTATAATAATATCTATTTTATTTATAGTATCTAATGTATTCTATAATATTTATAGTTTGTCTTAGTGTTTCTTTTTATGTGTATCGTACATATCCAATAAACATTAAAACGGCTGAACCAATCGAGCCTAAACAGAGTAGGTTGATGGCCGGTCAAAATATAATAATCTCGATTTTTTACAATTTAAAACAAATCAACAATCAAAACAGAAAAATGAAGTGCAACATCTAAAAGTTAATTTTTTACTATAAATTTGAGATGTACGCACCCCAGGTTAAGTTTTTTATTTATTCGTTGATACGATCTAATATTGTGGTTTAAAACGCAATATGTAAAGTGTTAATGTGTGCGCATATATTTATAGTAACGTTTCTGATGCGGTATCTATTTATTAGAAAGTATTTGATACTCAGTGTAAAGATGGCCGCGTTCGGCTTTTTTCAAATCGTTTGTTCATCGTCTGGAAAAAAACCAATTTCATTACTTTTTTCAGTTGTTTTCAGAATTTTCGTTCAAATTCCAGTTATTTTGTTAGTTTTCTAACTGCAGAAAAATCGTTTGTTCTTCAAAATTTCACGAGGACAATTTCATTCGTTTAGTAAAAAACGATAGTTTTTTCAACTTCATTTTGACAAATAATTTTATAATTCGTTCATTAACGATCTGATCTGGCTGATCCATAAAATGCGAACGATTGTAAACGATTTAAAATTGCTATTTATTTTCGTTCATTTATAAAAACTATCGTTTTTCGATTTTTCTGAACGATCCAATTTGGTCGTCCATTGCTTGTTAATTTTTCGGAGCGCCACCATCGTTCACGAAAAATTTCCGTTTGTTTTCAAACATTTCGTTCGTTCATAAGGACGATGCCCATCTCTACTCGCTGGAAAGGTAAATACATTGCCCATCTCTACTCTGTGGAAAGGTAAATACATTGCCCATCTCTACTCTGTGGAAAGGTAAATACATTGCCCATCTCTACTCTGTGGAAAGGTAAATACATTTACCAAGTTTATATTGACGGATTTGTCAACCAAAGCTTAAGTAGATCTAACTTAAACTAAACTTAAATTAAATTTAAATTTTAAATTTTGAGATTAATTTTCACATTCTTACAAAGAGTGTAGTTTACAGGTTTAATAATCTGATGTTTTTTGGCATGTAAAGGAATTGAGTATTTGCAACAAACTTTGATTTTCTAATCTCTTAATTTTCTTCCACAGCTAGGGTTCAGAATTTGTTTTACTTAGCTCGCGTTTTTTTTATGTGCAAATTGAGTTTGAAAAGTTGCCCGCCAAAGCTTGCTAAAATTACACGGATTATGTTAGCACAATTGGCATGCATAAACTGATATTAAAGATTTTACTAACTTATGCACAAATAAAAGTGAACAATAAATGCACAAAAATAAACAAAAGAAATGCAAATCAAATAAGCTTGAAGAGCAGGAAACCATATTTTGCCAGAATTAAGCAAAATTTGGCTAATTTCAGAAAATTTGCGCAAAAATTTTCTTTCAATGGAAACCAGTACAAGATAAAGCCGGATTTTGGTGCAATTTCTTAAAAATGCAAAATTTCGTTGAGAAACGGTTTAACGAAGCTCTCAACCGGGGCTGCATCAGAAAATCTTTTTGTTTTGTTTCAAGAAAATAGAAATAATGTTAAGTTAGAGCCTATAAAGGATAATTTATTGTTCTCATATAATGGTATAAAGTATATCAAAGTAGTTCAGAGCTGGGAACTTTTGAATGGTGGATATCGGGATTAATGCTTAATCGACTCTTTCTCTTTATCTCAAGACTAAATTACGCTTGTTCTCCTCTTGTTATTAATCTCCAGAGAAATTAAGCGGTCGGGATTAAGGATATCTCATTCTAAAGTTTTCAGCTCAGTTCGCATTCTTGAAGGAAATATTAAAAAGAGGGAGGGAGAGGGGGTAGTTTGTGGGCACTAAAATATTTTTCCTATGCAACGTATATATAATGCGATTGGAGCAGATGCAATTACTTGGCAGAGACACCTAGCGAAAAAAAATTGTGTTAAGTGCATTGTATATAAAACAAATAACAAATATTATGAAATATTAACTATATACGAATAAGTAGAAAAATAATCGATGACTTTAGGTTGTGATATCTGAATGATTTGTTTGAAATTGAATTGATTATGTTACGATACGAGTCGTATATTGCAACTTTCTGAATTTGTATGGAAGCTACGTTCTTCAGTATAAGTCGTTTTTAACAATTTTCTACAAAATGACGCAACAGATAGAAGTAAGATTGGTAGCGACCGAAAGCAATTAAATTTCGCCGTAAGCCTATACCCCTTTTTTCGCAAACATTCTCTTTAATTTGGTCAAAAATGCAAAGATTACGTCATTTACTGACTTTGAAAGTATTTAGCTCTGATGATTACTCCAGTCGTCTTTTTTAACATAGGCAAGACATGGGCAAGTAACTTTTGAATTTTTGAAGAGAAACCACAAATGAAAATGAACAGTTTCGTAAATAAAAACCTGGATATCTAATTCACACTTAATCAGAGAATGGGTTTAAGGGAACCATTGTAAATTGGCCATAGCGCGCCATCTTTAAATGGAGGGTAACTTGAAATTACGAGTACAGTTTCTTTACTATGGTATTGGCCAATATATGAGGTTTAATGACTTTCCTTTGCCTTCTTATTTCAGCCAGAAACTGTTTTCCAAATATAAATAAACTTTTTTAACTTCAGGGAAATCCGCAAAATTGCCAATATAAAGTTATTTTGGAAATTGGAAATTATGAAGCTGATATTTGATATGTTGAGCCCTAAATGGAAAACTGGAAACGAATTGTAATCATTTATTTATCCTTTGTGCAAAGTTGGT